ATACGCCATTTGTTCCTTCAGGATACTGGAGCCAGCCCATGTACACCATTGGTTTGGGATCCGGTTAGAGCCGGTGCCGGACATTCGCTTTTCGTCCTCTCATTTTCGTAAACAACAATAATGCCACGAGAAGGCAGTGAGTAGGACTTCCCTGTCAGAGGTTGTATATGCGTGGCTATGTGAGAGCATTTGGAGAGGGATAGTGGACTCTCCCCACTCTCGGCCTTACCAGGGCATTTGAGGGCAAATGGCCTATGAACCTATTGTTGGTCACCGACTACCATGAGACTGTATCTCCTGACGTTGCTCCACAGCCTAGTGGATCAAACGTTCAGATCAAAGACTCCAAGTGTGGCATCCTAAGAAAATCACCTGCTTCGGTTTGAGCACCAGAGCAGTATCATAGCCCTCACATAAATCAATTGATTTATATGGCTCATATCTATTTATTGCCTCATTGTACCAATGTTTATATGTTTAAATAAATAGAAAGGGAAAGACAAAACCAACAATAAGATAAACAAAGAAACAACGAAAAAAAACAAATATTAATGACAAATAACTGTTAATTTTCGTTTAGTTTTTCACTTGTTCTCTACCCCACTCCCCCCCCCTTTACTCGTACTCCAGTTTATTCATTTCATAAACAGAGTGAACACGAACAATAATAGTAATGATAGTAATAATAATAATAATAATAATAATAATAATAATAATAATAATAATAATAATAATGACGGTAGTACTGATGATGACAGTTGGTTCTTGTTTGTTTGTATTTAATGTATCAATGTTTACGTATTTTATTCTATTCAAAATTAAATTTTATACAAATCTATTGATTTGATATAATAAACAATCATTGTAAATGAGGAAATCATTATAGAAAGTGAATAAAAATGACTTAAAAAGGAAGTTAGTTATTTGTTAGATTTGATAAAATGTTTCTTTTTTAATGTCAGAAAGGGTTTTGTGGAGATTGCAGTAATTTCAGTAGTTGAAATCATGAGTCAATTGAAGCTAGACCACCATGAAAAACCTGAAACTACTGCACAAACGTTTCGTCTCATTGTGCGACTTCTCAGCAGTGCGCATGCACAACCTTGCCTCGCGGGATTTGGTCCTAGGACCTATCTCATTTGATATTTATTTTAACACATAAATATCGGTACAAGGAGGCATCAAATACATATGCGCCACACAAATCTCATTTGATATGTATGAGGGCTGTGATACTGCCCGGGTGCCCAAACCGAAGCAGATGGTTTTCATAGGAGGCCACACCTCGAGCCTTCGACCTGAAGATCTGATCCACAAGGCAGTAGAGCATCGTAAGGAGATGCATTCATTCAGGATACTGGAGCCCATGTACACCATTGGTTTGGGATCCGGTTAGAGCTGGTGCCGGACATTCGCTTTTCGTTCTCTCATTTTCGTAAACAACAGTAATGCCACGAGAAGTCAGTGAGTAGGACTTCCCTTTTAGAGGCTATATACGCGTGGCCATGTGAGAGTATTTTGAGGGGGGGAGCGGACTCACCCCACTCTCGGCCTTACCAGAGCATTTGGGGGCCAGGACCTATCAGTCTTGTGCGCGAGCATTTAACCAACAGGTCACTAAGCCTGTTGGCATCTAATTGTGTTTATGTCTAAATTTATTATCTATGTACAGAGATTATGAACTGATCTTAGTTAGATCATTATTAAGAAGCATTATGGATGTGTTTCGTCATAGTATGTGATTCTTCAGTATAGTATTTATTAATTAGATTAAGAAATATTCATGAGAAAGTTATTTTCATGGTGCAAAAACTGACCTAGTCAAACATTTGATCTTTCTATTTTCCAATTGTTTATATACTTTAGTAAGAAAACCTATTTCAGATTCAAACTTATCACAATTTATATTCAAGAATATAAATGAGAAGCCTATAACGTATTGACTACAATATCTAATATTGACACTGAGTTAAACGAAGTAATCGTAGTATCTAGTACATTTCTACAGTTTAAAGAAATGAGAACGTAGTATGTACAATTTTTGTGGGTGGATGAAGATAAGAACTAAATCAACTGAATTGATGAGAATTAGCGATAAACAGTGATTATTCAAAGGAATGATCGTTAAATATTTTGTTAAAGAACTATAATTTTATTTTAATAGTTGAGATCATGAGTCCATTGAAGCTAGACCACCATGAAAAACCTGAAAAGCACTGGACAGTCATTTCGTCCTATTGCGGGACTTCTCATCAGTTCTCACTCACGACTCCGTCTCGCGAGATTCGAACTCAGGGCACTTGGTCTCGCGCGCGAGCTCTTAACTACTAAACCACTGAGTCGGCCGACATCTAACAATGTTAATGTCTAACTTTAACCAACTATAATTTAGTTTAATGTTAAAGAAAGCATTTGTTACTACATTACTCAACTGTTTTAGTAAATCACTTCATAAAATTTATGATTTTGCATTAGAATTATTATCTTGACTGACTAACTGTCAGGGAGTGAGAGATAATCATCACAAATACATAAAACTCCAAATTGTATTCCATAAATCAACATCCATTTCAGAGATCAGATACATTGAAGCTGAGCTAGTCAATTAATTTTCTCTTATTCTCAAAGGAGATTCCATCATTTTCGATCAACATGAATACAAAATGTAAAAATATTCAAAGATTAATTTAAGTAATTTATACAACTGAAAATTTATCACAAATATCCAAATCATTAAAAAGTAAAGTACTTGACAAGTCTTTTTAAGCAAAGATGGATAGTGGTTAGCAGTGGAATCCACGATGAGCGTTCCGTCCTATTTGCGACTAGTCAGATGGATGTACTTGCATTGAAGAGTTAATGTTCATTCATGGGACTCGAACCCAATACCTTTCGCTTCAAACATCATCGTGTTATCCACTTAGCTACTGAATCCTGATAGCTACTTGCTTGTGCAATCATAGTGTTTTCTTCATTAAAGTCTTAAATAATAATAAGCTAAACCACCATGGAAAACCTGGAAGCACTGGATAGCCGTTTCATCCTATCACTTCCAGGTTGCCATGGTGATCTAGCTTCAATTGATTCATGATCTCAACTACTAAATCTACTACAATCTCCTCAAAACCCTTTTTGATAATAATAAAAGACTTTTAACAGAATGCATAATTATCTGTGTACTTTTGGTTAATATGATCCCATCAAATAATAAAATTTTCCACGATCCACGATCTGATGTATAATTAACTCAGTTGTACAAACGTTTAGAGAAAAAAACTAAAATATTATTTACTGAAATCTAGACAATAAAAACACATTCTCAGTTTAGAGTTATGGAGATTGTTAAGTTTAAATTGATATCATGAATGAATTATTAACACTGTTGGATACCGGATTAGTGGTCTAGACATTAAACGTTCGCGCATGAGACCAAAAGTCTTCGGTTAAAGTCCCGTATGCGAGATCGTGGATGAGCACTATTGAGGGGGACGAAACGGTCGTTCAGTGATTCCAGGCTTTTTAATGGTAATCTATCATTGATCCATTCATGTTATCAATTTAAAGAAAATTCTGTCTTACTTATATAACATCATAAAAAATTTATTATATCATTTATGGTACAGATTAACAAAAAGAAAATGAAATGACTTCGTCATTATTTCAAGACCTCTCATCAACTGCATTCGTAGTATTATCATTAAAATACATACCATAATTAGTAAAGTTTAGTTCGAAACAACTTGAGAAACAAAATAAAGTCAGTCAGTCAGTCAGTCAGTCAGCTACACTGTAGGACCAAGCACATATATGCATCGGTCCATGTTGCCATACCGCATTAGCACAATAATAATATATTTAACATAATAATTAACTTTTCAGTATGGGGATTGTTGATATTGTTGAATCTAATTAAAATCATGAACCGATTTAAGTTAGACTATTATTAGAAATCTAAAAAATAATTAGATGACTATTTCATTCTATTATTGGGGGTTCTCAACAATACTTATCCACGATCCCATACGTGGAAATTTAACACAGAATATTTGATCTCACTTGTGAACGGTTACCTTCTAATTAATTCAAAATTGACTTGTAACTCAAAAATGAAACAATGTAAAATGCAATAAACCAAGAAACATTCAAAAGAAAGTGTTTTTTTTTAACTCTTCTATATTGTCAAGTTTCAAAATATGGGTTTAGTTACTCGACAATACCGTGTAATAATATGAGAACGAAGATTATTACGTAATCATGATAATGTGGTGTAGGTTACTTATATTCACACAAATAGTATATAACTATGGTCAGGCGTAGAATGTATTTCAGTAGAAAGTCGATGAGAAAAGAACGGGAACGAAACGGAACGCTCTGTAATTTTGTATTCAAACGTTGGTATCCTTGTTCACTACCATAGTATAGTGGTTAAATAATAAAAAAAATCACATGGTTTATCTTCTTAAATCTATATTTCCCCATGACTAATGGTTTCTGGCTATTGGCAACATGATTCAGGAATATCTTCAACTATTGATATTTTTAGCTAAACAATATTGTTGAAACGAATGTAGACTGTACGTTGTGTCAGTATTTCTAGAACCAAGTGTACAATAATAACCCTTACGACCGGTAAATAACAATAGTACTGTATCAGAAAGAGACTAAAATAGGAAACGTGAACAACTAGATTAGAACATAGTGGTTTAAAAGTGATATCCTAGTATTGAGCTCCATAGTAGTATTCATCCACGACCAAACAACTGGAAATGACCCAGGATTTTCAGTCCCACATACAGAAGTTCAGCGGTTGAAAGGTTAGACAATTTCATGCGAGACCATAAGTCGTGTGTTCGGTTCTCGGGTTTGTGATCGTGGATCCGAACTACTATGGGGTGCCATACTAAGATGAAACTGTCGTATGTTGCCTTCGGGTTTTCAATGCTTATCTGACTTAGATCGGTTCGTGATATAATAAAATATTTCATGAATAAATAACTTACTTGAATCATTAGGATCTTCAATTGATTCTGAAGTATGAAATTGCATACACATACTTGTTTTACCAACTCTGGCTGTACCAATTACTTGAACTTGAAGTAAACGATCATCTAGGAATAGTTCACCACCAGATGGTGATTCTAATTTATTAGGTGAAGTATCTGGACTTTCTGTTACAATTGCCCATGATTTAGAACGTAATCTAGTCTCTGGTATAAATCCTCTAACTGGACTACTTGCACGCTTACTGTAAATTTTAAGTAAACCATCATTTGAAGCTCTTGGTGAACTAGCCAAATTTGTAGTGATTGCCGGGATTTCAATTACCTCATCACTTAATGATGATTCAGAGAGATTATGACTACTTTCAGGTATTGGTCGTGGATAAACTACTGATCCTCGTGAATCCCCAGATGGACTCCTGGATGCAAATATCTCTATCTGTGGAACATCTCGATCACCTTTACTAACAACATCACCATGTTTATTTCGTTCAAAACGTCGAACACGTAACATTTGTTCATCTGTTTGACTAATTGAATGACGACTAGGTGAATATTGAGAGAATGGATGATTTGCTGGATGTAATGTTGGAGCAGATGGTCTTGATTTATGTTTTTCTTGACTTCTTGTACGTTTATAACTAGTTTCTTTCATAGATCCTGGTCTATCACGAGTAGTACCAAGTCTATACATTGCTGGAGAACATGAATAAGGACTTGATGATTCACGATTTATATCTTGATTTTGCCAATATCTTTGTGTATCAGTAGTTCGTAAAATATTTGTATCATTTGTATCATTATAATAACGAGAACGTTGTTGTTGTTGTTGTTGTTGTTTTTGTCTTGAACTAGTATTATAATTAAATTGATTTAATTCATTTGTATGATCCCATTGTGGACTAGATCGAATTGGTGAACGAGTTGCACTAATATCACCACTAAAACTACTTGGTTGAAATGATGTTCGTCTTTTAGGTTCTCTAAAACTTGATGCACGTTTTAATGATTCAATATTTAATGTTGTTAAATATTCTGATTGATTTATAGGTGATATATTATTTCCACGATAAGTTGGTTCTGTAATTTGTATTGTTGGTGCTATACTATCTCTTGGTGAACGTTGTGCTATATGACAAAATCGTTCAAAATCATCAGATATTTCATAATTATCCATAATGTTAAATGAAATCCACAATAGTATTAAGCATATAATACAATTGTATAATGTTATAATATAAATATCCAGAAAGACAAATAATAATAAAAGAAGTGTTTATTACAAATACCTTTGTTATTTTAATTTATTTATACTCAGTGAAGGTGAAATGTTTCTGTTTGTTTTTTGTTTTTTTTTTTAATTTTTTTTTTCCCAAATGATATTCATTTAACCAATCAAATTGCTTATTACCATTGTTGTTGTTGTTGTTGTTGTTGTTGTTGTTGTTGTTGACCTTATAATAAAGCGTAAACATGCAAACAAATTACAAGGCATATATGTATATATAGGATAATAATAATAATAATAAACTTCTCATTATTGGGGAACTTGTTGGTAATTATTCATATTATTCATATTCCCAATAAGTTTGTGTTTGTTTGTTTGCTTTGAACAAACACTATATGTCGTCTGTCTGTCTGTCTGTCTGTCTATCTATTTGTCTGTCTGTTTATCTATCTGTCTGTCTAACGATCTATTTGTGTGTTCATATCTTGTTTCCCAATTAACATGAATAGTCACAACAACCAAAAAAAATTTTTTTAAGGATATATATATTTATATTTTGATGTTTTAATTAGTACATATAAAGGAAAGTTGTGGCGTTTTAGGATCTAGGATATGAACTATTGGTTATAGAATGTATCGTTTTAAAGATACAATATTCATTGATTGTTTTTAGAATCACAAATATTGTAGTGAACTACATTAGATATATGTAGATGTGAGGTGGTAGATTGGTAAAGCAAGAGTAGGATAACTACAATTGAAAAATATCTGGAACTCGAAGTAACTGCCAACCAACGCCATAGTCAGAATTTTCAATATAAATGTCAAGACAGTTCTAATGTATGTGGTGGAAACTTGAAGAACTACGAAAGTCATCATCCAGAAAATACAAGTGTTTATTAACATGTGTCTACACAAAATACTTCGGATCCGTTGGTCAGATACTATCATTAACAACCTGCTGTGTGAGAGAGCAAACCAGATTCCAATGGAGGAAGAAATCAGGAAGAAACACTGGAAGTGGATAGGACACACATTGAGGAAAGCATCCGACTGGGTCACATGACAAGCCTCACATGGAATCTTCAAAGCCAAATGAGGAGAAAAAAGACCAAAGAACATATTACGCCGAGAAATGGCGACAAAAATGAGAAGAATTAACAAGAGTTGTATAGAACTACAAGGACGTCCCAGTATAGGGTGGGTTTGAGAATGTTGGTCCGTGGCCTATAGTTCGTTGGGATAAAATGCGTCAGTAAATAAGTAATTACATTAGAAATAGAGAAAGTTAAACATAAATGGGCTCTGAAGGGGTTTTGTGGATATTATAGAAATTTTTAATAGTTCACATCATGAGTCAATTGAAGCTACAACACCATGGAAAACCTGAAAGCACTGGATGGCCATTCCGTCCTAGTATGAAACTTTTCAGCACTACGCATCTACGAATGTGCCTTGCGAGATTCGAACCCAGGACCTATTGGTCTTGCGCGCGATTGACAGTTGTTTTGAGTTCCATGGGAACGTTGCCCTTACTTAGATAATCCTCGATTTTACGTCTACATCAGATTCTCCTAGTCCATCGATGATTCACACCAGACAATTGAGAGATTCCACGTCTTCCAGAACTCTCCATCAAGTTTGATTAGATTGGTGTTCTCTGTGTTGTATTTCGGAATCTCGCTTTTACGTCTGTGAAGTTCAAATCATCTAGTTCCATCAAAACTCTACATTACATTCAGCCATTCTCATCAAAACTGGAGTTCTTTATAATAAAGTCATGAAATAATTGATAATCATTATTACATTTACACCATGATATAACTAGAAATATCTGTGATTATAAAATACAAACGTCGTTTCTCAATATCATTCAGTGAAAGTATACAATTCCCAATCATTTTCATCAACTAAAAGACAAGCACTTATTTCGTGATCACTGAACACATCCAAACAATATCGAACATTCCACACAGCTCCAATGAGAATGAATGTTTGTAGAGTTTCCATCAATCCTCATGCTAAATTAAATTCACTCATGTCATCAACCGCAATATTTGAAAAACTCTTCCAGACAACAGAACAATATCAGTGCAAACATACGGAATTGAATGAATGTGTGAATTGAAAGTTTCAAAGAAAACATATTGTCAGGTATTAAACAGCATTCCTACACTCATCATATTGACTCTGTCGAGACAGAAACGTACAGTGAATCAAAGTATACACAAAGAAGGAGAATGACCAATCGTTCAATTAGCTCTATTTATAAGAGAATCACTCGACTACAACAACTGAAACAATCTCGAAATTCACAATTCAATTAAGCTCGTTTTCCAAAACAAGTAGTCCAACATTCACAGAAAAATTGATTTCATGAAATTGATTCCTTCTAAATACGGACTATCATCATTCTGTCAACAAATCGATTATCTTCAGTCCTTCACACTTTCGTTTGATTAATGATCGAAAAAGGTAGGACAAAAAACACCCAATTCATCCACACCATCACCATCAATTCTAGTACGTTTACAACAAATCGATCACTGTTCACTCATTTCTGACAACATAAATCCCACTTATACCATGTGTGAGATAAATTCACATATTACTGTATTATCATTCACATCACTTCAAATATACTACCACACACAATATCACATTGATCACACAAACATTATCAACAAATTCGGTCACCTAATACCATATACACTGAACAATCTGAACAACTGTTGTGAGATGGAAACAGCTGAAAATGAATCAGTGAAACAACTAATTCACATCGATTCCACTTACAATTCAAAATGATGCAGTTACATTTCTCTCCCAATCACTTGCTACCTCAATGATTGTAGGTAAATTCGATGGAATCCAAACATGTGCAGTAATACATTCCTGCATACAATATGTGTAAATTCACCATTTCACACGTGAATAGTACCGACCATCGATGAAATAACTCCGATCAAACAACTACGTTAAATTAACACATTTAACTGGTTCAAATAACCAACTGCTTTCAAACAGTTCTGTCAAGTTCAATTAGAATTCTACGTAAACAGTGAGTTCATGCATGTAAATGTAATTCGGTGTGAAAAAATGATCATCGATGTGACCAATAAATGATGGTGGTGTTTTTGAATCGATGGACAGATTACAGTAGACCAGTCGACAGTCTCGAAAGTTTACTCATACACTAATTCATATACAGATAAAATTTCGACCTGCATAATTACAGTTGAGTGAGATTCATGTAGAAACATACAAATCGAGATGTCCAGTTGAGCAATGTTAATAAACATCGGAAAAATGAAGTAGATTTTTAGTTTTTGAACATAACTAACCAAATATTAGGAGAATAAGATGATTGAATGTATCCAATTCCGATACTCCAACTGACATGAACAACAACACTGAATAAGTGCATAAATATTCACCATCAAATGATGTTGGAACACATCAGGTTGAACTGTTCACCATAAGAAGTTTTCATGCGTACGAACGATCCTATTAGAACTCAGTTGCCAAAATTCAAATTCAGTTGTGTTGATGATGAAATGTGTGAGACTAGCACATCTCGATTCGTGACTTCCAATACTTCCAATCACTTCAATAACAATCATTTTCTCACTTGTAACACGCACACACACACACACACTATTCCACAAATAATACATTCGCATAATTGGTCTATCACATTACTCACATTCTAACATTGTTCAGTCAACAAGAATTTCATTTCATAGAAATTTCCATACATGTTGTTTACATGAGTAAGTATAATGATGAAATATTACTACTTCCTCTATTCACAATAATCATACATTCCATTGTGAATGATTGTTTACAAGATAATTATCGAAATAGATAAACAAATAACTAGACCATTGTCTTCTCCACTTTGTCGAACCATCATTAATCAATCCTCTAAACAGTTAGTTATCGTTCTTTATCCCAGTAACACAACACTCATTCAATCACATTCTGTTTTCCATATTCAACAAACTCCATTATCGTGTTGTCTACAGTATGGAAATTCATCGTGATTTCAAACTAACTACATACTGTTGATGATGTGCACAGATTCAACTGTAGTATACTCAACAATTTCATTGAGTAACTACTTGATTTCATTCTGACAATAATTTTCACCACCAAACACATCGATCATTCGTTTAATCTTCACATTTTCCCTTCACACTGTTCTACACCATTCAATTAGATAATCACCAAGTGAATACATTTGTTCACATCCTCACACAAATCATGCTCTCGAATCCTTAGATCACTTGTACAAGTAAAATAGATGAGACACACTTGATAAAACAATAAGCACAATTTGGGTTAGATCCCAATGAGTAGAAAAGTTGTGTTTAAGACAGTTCGTGTCTTAATGTTAACCACATCTTCACAGTAATTATATAGACGAATGAAATAACCACAGATTTAATTAGCACATCACACTCAGGCTCAACTCACGACTAATCATGGAGAACAGTTGGGATTCATTACACAGTCCTCGTTCGAAAACAAAATCACAAATTCACTTCTCTTCCTATGATGGTCCTTCTACTGGATTGATGATAATATGAGGACAGTCAAAAACAATACATCTCGAACTAATAGGCTTAGGATAGAGAACACTTCAGCAACACATGCAGATTTAAAGTAGAATGAAGAATGAAACATATTATCATTACATATAATAATCAAGTATTCCGAAGTAATACACTTTAATCGATTAAATCATAAGTCAATTGAAGTTAGACCAACAAGGAGGCATTTACTGGAGTTCTAGTGAGAAGCCGTTATCAGTGGAATTCAACCAAATCTGTTGTGAGATATCAGCTCACTGAAGACAATGGTGTGCAGTGGCACAATTTCCTGGATTGGTTGGAGTTAGACATTAACACCGTTGGATGCCGGCTGTCTCAGTGGCCATGGGTTTGAATCTCGTTGGAGGTGGGATTGTGGATGCGCAATGCTGAGTAGTCCTATACTACGCCGAAACGGCCATTCAGTGCTTCTACCTTTTCCATGGTGGTCTAGCTTCAACTGACTCATGATCTCAACTATTGATATTACATTTTGTCATATTCCACATCCTTCCACACACAAGATTGGTGAATCGCATTCACTGCACACCTGAATCCATACTAACACATTTAAAATCAAAATCTCATTATACAGTCTCGTTCAGATTTTACACAAATTCTACACATCACAAAACTAATTAAACTCTCATTAGACACATTTCCACTGAAACTTATCAATCACTCGTGCACTGAGTGAATATATACAACTCGCATTCAACCACACAGATACACACTCATACAAACCAGATTACCTACACATTCAAATACACACATCCAATATAGGAATATATTCTGATTGCCAATGTTCTTGATCACCGTCTCTCACATTCACTCTCGTCACATGTGCACACTTATCGTCATTCATGTTAGTTGGTTTGATTGACTGATTGGGGAAGAAGAGATTAATGGATTTCACATAATGATTCAGTTCATCAGCATAATTACAATTTCGTGTGAAATTCAATGAGATTATTTCAGAATGACATCGTCACCTTGATTGTGAATAA